AGTGCTTTGGTGAAATCAGCCAATTGGATGTTAAAGATCATTTTCACTGAAAAAAAAAAACAAACCTCGGCAGTGTTAATGTACTCTGGATGATGGGCGTATAAAGTGCTGGACTCTAATGCCAGAGACTGGGCTGATGTGCTTGTGATTTGGTTTAAGCTATGAAGACACTTTGGTCGGAGAAAGTTGGTGGTTTGAGTTAAATATTGAAAAAGTAAACGTCACGCTAACTTTGAACTCTTACCCTTTCCCCAGCGTAACCAGGTGCTTTTAGATTCCCTTAAACAGAGAAAAAATAAATGTGAATCAGCCTTTAGTTGAAAATTAAGTCTTATTAAGGATATTAAGGAGACAGGGTGAGATAGCCTATGCTATGACCCCTCCCTCCCCATCTTTCAGGACAATTTCTGTTACTTTCCGAAACTGACATTCCCAATTGGCTTGGTGTGCACAGGCGAGAAGGTAGGCACGTCCTCGCTGTCGATCACTTTGGTGTTTTGGACTGTAATCTTTCCCCTGGACACTGATTTTGTTTTATATCCAGAGCATCAGAAACTACTTTTGGACAGTTTTTTTTAGCCATAACAACGTCTTCATCTTCAGGGCAGATTGGAGTGATGAGACGGGCCGTGGCTAGCTGGTTAGCATGTTAACAGTAGAACAAAACAAGTGATAGAGACAAGAGTGACACATTAGTGTTGCTTTTCACAGCTGGAGACAGCTCTTGGCGAGTAAAGGAATGAAGTTTGATGTGGTACTCGCAACGTTTCTTCTAGACTGGTAAGTCTAACAGCTGTAAACTATAAGCTGTATACTGGGAAAAACTGTCTAGTTAAAGGAAAAAAAAATCAGCTTCCAGTTACTTTTGGTAAATTTACTAACAACTGCATTTTGGGCCACTCAGTGGAAAAAAAAATTCAGATTTAGAAAAAAAGGTAGTCTGGTCCATTTTTCTCATTGGTGTAAACAGCTGAATCGCACATTGAGATGGTTGTTCGGCTCTGCTGCCTGCCTGTAAAAGTCCCCACATGCCACTGGTGTGAGTAATCCTAAAAGATCTTTGGTGAAATTTTGACAAAACTCAAATCAATCCACAAAATACAAACATCTCAAGTGGTTACGGCAACTTAACTTAACTGTTGAGAAAAAGAAACAGTTTGTTCATAGAAAGAGATCAGAATATCAAAATGGATTTTTCTTTGCAGAGCCGAACGTCATTACACTGTGTTTACCAGCTGCTAATAGAGGAGCACTGAGGGGTTGTAATGCCTGTGTCGCAACATAAACACTCAGTGGCACTTTGATGGTGCTGCTTTATTACAGCTTGCATTCATACACAACAGGGAAACTATATCAGAACGATCTGCAGCTCTTCTTGCTGCCCTCACCTGCTCTTCTGCTTCAAGTGATTCCATGTCCTGTGGCAAAACTGTGTGTGAAACACTTCATATAGACTCTCACTCCTCCACGAGCGTTACAGTGGACTCATAAAGGCCATGAGAAGCATTAGAATGCACTGCTGTGTGTTGTGCTGGCAGCCCCACTGACCCTAATTCATAATGACTCCATTGTCTTGGGGGACACAGACATACATCAGGCATAAATGAAGTAGGACAGGCACTTTAGCTGCTGAGATGAGGTGATTATAGCTCATGGATTAGTCTGCCTGTGTGAGGTGGATGTTCAGCCTGATGTTCACACATAAACACACACACACACACACATGCACAAAAGAATGCAAAAACACTCAGACCTGCACGGTTGTAGCCTATATACTGCAATTACAGGACATACGGAGATGTGCATCCACGCACACATGCAGTGACCTCACCTCGACACCCGAACAGCTTGTGGGTTTTTTTTTTTTTACTGTAAAAAAAGACCCCTGGAAGATGAATGCAGTGCTGTCGAGTTTGATATACGTGTTTTTTTTTAGATGCAAAGGACAGTTAAAAGTACAGAGAAGGGTTTCATAAAACCTGATTACCTGTGCAGGTTTATTTCAGTAAGTCAGGCTTATTTTACTTTGTATTACATTACATTCACTTCATTTGGCAGATGCTTTCATCCAAAGCGACTTACATCACTAAAGCTTCAAGCTCATTTTGAGGAAACTTTATTTCATACAGGAGGATTAAATAAGCCTGATTTAAGTTATCAGACTAGCCTAGCACTGGTCAGGTTTGTTTTCAGGCTTAGCTTCACCTCAGGATTAGCCAGTCTTACAGTCAGTCTGTCAGACTGAAGAGGGTGTTTTCCCCAAAGTTCCTACATAAAGGTTCCTATTTTACCTTTCTGTTGCGTAATTAAAACCTGTCACTTTAATACATTTAAAGAAACAGGCACCCAGAAATCGGATTACTTCAAATATGAAGGGTGAACAGCCGCTCTGAAGTACAACCGTCATATGGAGGCTGACAAAGTAGCCTAATACACTCGAGTTAAAAAAAAACCAACAACACTATCTTACTTATTTTCTGGCTATAAAATACATCACTAGACTGCGGTTGTATTTCATGTGTCAAAGCTGGTTAATGTCACGTTGCGTCTGCATTCACACTTTCATTAATTTTGAGCAGCTGTTCTGTGAGAAAACTCTCTCCTCGCGCAGGACTTGAGCCGACGGGGGGATGATTGCAGACACACTGAGCAAACAGAGGCGACCAGTGGGTTTTTTTTATTTTTTTATCTCTACTTGTGTCAAAACCATGAGCTCACTGTTGGTTTACAGGATGCACTAACACTTCACAGGGGTTTTTGTGAACTTCTGTTGTTTTGTCGTGCTGCTCTGTGGCTGTAAACATCACAGTTTTGTCCATATAGCTTGTTTTTTTTTTAAATTTTTTATCTGTGCTTCATGTTCCAGGCCTTTTGTTTGAAAGTCATGAACCAGACTTGATGTATCCTGATCTCAGCAGCTCTAATCTGGATTAATGACACTGTTTACTGCTGGTAAAGTTTGCTCATGTTTTCACAGTAAAACCTGATTTTCTGGTTCGGCCTTATGAAACACTCGTGAGCTGTAATTGTAGACAACTCAATTCAGCTATAATGAACTCACTACTTTCTGCACAGCACCAAACTACAGGCAAAGTTAGTGACACATCTAGCAGCTGAACGTGCAACAGCTGCACATATGTTGAGATAACATGCGCATTTGAACTATAAAGGTCCTTGGTGGATACAAACCTGCTGCAGTTATCTCACTCTGTGGAGCTCTCGGCCACTGTGCCGCTCAGTCACAGCCAATAAAGCATTTGATGTGATATGTATAAAGCCCTTGATGTGATATCAACCCGATGGCCTTTCTATTTCACTTCATTTTGCGGGTGCTCACCCCAGAGCTTGTGTCCCGGTAAAATGAAAAAAAAAAGAAAGTATTCCTACTCGTCCCTTTAACTGTCGCGTTTATAAAAGCTATTTCATTTTGTGCTCTGAGAGGCCCAACAGCTTTAAAGTAAGTGTACACACTGGGGGTACCACGGGGCCAAACAGATGGAGGGGGAACTCTGAACCGGGCTAGATGGAGTTCATGGAGCCTGTTCGGGTGGAATAAATCAGGCTGTTTGTGAACAGGAGCCTCCGTTTGAGGAGACTGTTCAGTGTCTCAATAAAGTTTACAATCCTCCTGTTAAGCCCAGACCAGCTTCCTCGGTGGTACTGTTGTTATGAGGAGGATTAGTCTGAGCTCATGTGTCTCTGCACTCACTCACTAATGGACTCTGCTCTCCTCCTGGTGATATTCATGCAGTCTAAATACTTTATAATCCAATTTTTCTTTACCAACCAGGAGATGAACAGTTAAAACTGCCTCCTCTTTAATGAGCACAGTATTGAATCCATGGAGCATCAGGCAACTCGTGGTGGTTTTCCCATCACCACCACTACGTGGCGCAGTGAGTCATGAACCCAAGCAGCTGCACAGCTCACTGCAGATCCACAGCCCTGAAAACCTGCGGGAGACTTGAAGTTTTATAATGTCTGCTAGATGAACGTGTGGCCAATAAAGATGCTGAGAATAAAATGTGCTGACAGTAGAGATGTGCGGCTGTTTTTGAGTCATGCATGGGAATAATGTATTCCCCAAAACAAGTGAAAACTCTGCCAGCTGAGATACTTATCATACACGCTGGTTCTCAGGGCAGTCGTGCACGTACACTGTATTGAAACCAGTTGAAGCTTGTTTGACGCACGAGAGAACAATGGGAGACTAATGAAACTGCTGACAATAAAGTCATAAAACTAAAAGCATTGGAAACAGCTCAACTTTGGTTATGGCGCAGTTGAAGCAAAGCAACTTTAAAGGACAAACGTGAGAAAGTCAAACTCGGACAGATTTTTTACTGAAATAATGTTGAGACAGTGAAAAGGGGAGGGGACTTGTTTTGCAGCATGTTTATGAAATGATCTGGGATCTGTCTGCCGGCCCTGGGAAGCACAGATACCCCCCAGGAGGAGGGATGTTGTTTTTGTAAGCGAGACGCCCGTCATTCAAAATCCAAGCCAATGAGACTGTGCGCAACCGTGAAACTGTACACTGCAAGAAATATCCGCGGTCACAACAAACAGCGGCGCAGCGGCTGCGCTAAAAAATCCCGTCCGGAGAAAGTTGAGAGTGACATCACTCACCGTGCACTCAACAAATCCGACGTTTCCTGCCTTAATTGGAGACATTTGATTGTCTTTTCCGAAGCGGACTGATCCGCTTTGAGGTGATTTTCTGACACATGTGAAATGAATTTACCATAAACCGGATCTAAAGCGGAGCTGGTGAATCCATTCATCAGTTTTCTTCATTTGAGAAAACGAGCTGCACGTGATTCAACAGTTTTTGAGACTGAACGCCTCAAGCGCAAAGACGAACACTTTTTACAGTGTGCCCCGGCTGGCACAGTAGGAGGGAGGAGAGAGAGAGAGAAAGAGGGGGAGAGAGAGGGATTGGGGGGTGGAGGAGTTGGAGGAGGGGAGGAGGGGGGGGGGTCCGGGAGAGCATGGCCGCAGGAGCCACAGCGCTGCTGACTTGGTTTGGTTCTTCCAGATTGGTAACACCGCTTCTCGTGCGCTCTCGGTTATGTGGCGGAGCCGCTCGTCATTTAACCTGGACGTCGTGTGCGTGTACGCGCTGCGGAGAGGTTTGATCAAGTGCGTGCGTTGTTATTCGGCAGGGCAGCAGCGGGTTCAGACGGAGCCGAAGCTGCGGGTTTGACTCTTCTTCTTTTCGGCTCCTCGGTGATCCACACTGATCAGGAGCAGAGAGCCCGAGCGCGCGGGGACTGTTTCTCTGCTCTCTTCATCTCTGTGTTGTGGAACATTTATTCTCCGATTTCTCTGCCTCCTCTTCTGGGAAATTCAGTTGCGAGTTGGAGAAACTGTTCGCTGCGCGGAGCAGAGTTGAGCCGGAGGGAGACTGTTCGTGGTGCAGGCAGAATAATTGTGGATTTTCACTGTCTGTTCACTAGTTTCAGAAGAACTGTCTCTATTAAAGCGGGTGAAGAGTGAACGATCTGAGTGTGAAAACGCGGGTTGAGCAAGAAAACGCTGTTTTAAAAGAAGAGAATTTAGTTGTTGTTTTTTTTTTAATTATAAACAGTGAGGAAGGAGATACATCTGTGCCGGGACTAAGTGGACTCTCATCCCCTCACATCACAGCATTTCACCACCACCATCCATTAGAACCTTTAAAACCCGAAGCGGGAGGGACTGTAATCGATTTGGCTTCATCGGAGTTCCAGAGCAAATATGCCGCAGGTGGAAATGATCCTCTTCCTCATCCTCATCATTGGGATGTGTGTGTACGGCCAGGACCCGGCTTCCAAGGTGGTGTCCGACCGCTACGCCGTCTACTGGAACCGGACCAACCCCAAGTAAGTAACCCCGTCCGCCTGCTCTTCTCACAGGGACGCACCGGCACACAGGCGCTCGCTCCCTCCGCCCGCTGAAGGCGGCGGACTTCACCCTTGACGCTGCCCGGTTGAAGGTGCAGTCTAAGCGGGTTGCAGTAGCTCGGGGTGTCTGGGTGTAACCTGAACACTCCCAGCTCAGTTTGCAGCATTGCAAGAGCTAAAAATCAAAGTGTTCCACTTATAAAAAGCAAAACTAAACTGCACTTTATATATGTAGAGTTTAAGAATCAACCTGTTTTACATCAATTTGTAACAATGCACATCATGTAGTTACATTTTCTTTGGATCGCCACCATCATGAGCTTCTCTCCAGCTCACACAAGATTGACAAATTGACTGTTTGTCACTTGGTTTACTCTCGACTACAGCCTGTTACATGTTTCTCTCACTGATGAATTGTCGTGATGGTTACAGTTTAATAATCTCTCTATCAACAATCAACTGCGCGTCGTAAATCACGCTTGACAGTGGAACAACCAGACGTTTTCACACGGGGCTCTCCGCTATTACGCACCATTACGCGCTATTACGCATTCATGGTCAGTATTTGCTCCACATCCAGGTTGAAAGGGAAATACATGTAGTGTAGTTACGAGCTGCTGGGAGAAATGTACTCCGCTGAGCGCGAGCCATGCTGGGTTCAAATACAGCTGAGTCGCTCCCAGTCTGCTGCCATCGATTAGAATTGACAGAGTAGTTCTTGTGCCAAATGGAGACTCCTCCAGTGGGAGTTTGGAGATATTTCGTGCCAAGTTGTGTCGAGTTTAGGTTGTTTATTATTATTATGAGCATCTCAGTGACATACTGACTTGCATTTAATTTGCTGATAAAGTGTGTTTTGTTGTGTTGGTTTGAGTGGAAACCTGCACGTAAAAACTTCGGGTTGCTTCCTGGTTCTAATTATCACAACTTTTCTCCCAGAAACTCTTGGGAATGAGCCCAGATTCTTCTGGTGTGGATACTAAAGTGACACTTCTCCCCCTAAGCTACCTCCTGTGTCTGTCAGGGCACCTCCCTGAGTGACTCAGAGCCTCACTCTTGGTGCTTGAGCACATATGAGATAATGAGTGTGTGTCACTTTGTTTCAATTGGACTGCATTAAGTTCGCTCACTGGTATTATCGGGCTACAGTTTCGGCGTGAGTCAAAAAAAAAAAAAGAAATTCATATCACTGTTTGCTCAGGGACAAGAAACTGGTTTGTTGGGCTTCAGAGTCTAAACACACAACAAGGCTGCTGACGTGTGGCGGTATAGCAATGACCCTGAGGCATACGTGTGCAGAGCTTGCTGTAGGAGAGTTTGACCTGACAGGATGTGAATGATACAAATGCAAATGCTGTGGTGGTGACATGAAAGGCTGATGGAGTTCCTGCTCTGCTAACCGACAGATATCTGAGTCTGATAACAGCTTTCTGTCCCACTCAAAGGCTGCAGGTTGTTTTTTTTTGTTTTTGTTTTTTTGCTTTTTGGCCTTCAAGCAGTTCCCAGTTCCCAAGTCGGGTTTCTCGGTTGCCATGCTCCCCCATCCAAGTGTCCCCCTCCACCCTCTCTGCCCCCCCACCCCACCCCCCACTCCCCCCCACCCCCCGGCCCACGCTGGGGCAGACAATAAGGGGGTACACAGGGGTATTTCAGCAGCGGCCAAGACGCAGCGTGGTGCTCGGTCTTGTGAGAGATCCACACATGCTGAGGTCACACACTCGGTAGTAACCAGGCGAGTCGCGGGTTAAGCAGCACAGAGGGGACCGTTGTCAGGGTCAAAACCGGGGCAGTACCGCCGGCCATGGGGCCCGGTGACGGCCCCGGCACGGCACCCCGCCTGGGCTTTGTCTTGGCAGAAAGGAGGCTAAATAAATGAGTAACTCTAAATGACTGTCTCCTTTTCTCATTCGTGACTTTAATCTAAACCTGACCTGGGCTGTATAATGTAAGGGAGGGACGTGCTCAAAGCCTGGGGGCCCCCTGACCCAGAGCAGAACCTAACAGTATTCCATAGAAGCCTGCGGGCCCTGGGTCCCTGCTGTTTAATGTAACCATACTCAGTATTGGAGCCCTGGGAACCTGCTGCGGTACAGTCCCAACTTCCAGATGAGCTTTCTTACCCCCCTCTTCTGCCGTCAGCGCTGTACATCCGACCAAAGTGGGGAAAAATAGTATCCAGAGCAGCAGTCCACACTCAGCCATTCATGAAATCCCCTACAGGAGCTCCGGAATTGAAATGGGAAGTGAATCGTGAAAAATGGAAATGCGATGACATTTTCATGTTTTTGCTATTGTTTCAAAGGGGCAGAGAGGAGCCTTTTTGTAATTTAGATAAACATGCGTTTATGTTTGCTGTGCTTTCATCTCAGGGCAGCATCTTCGTGCTCTGATGCTCGGTGCTGATTAGGCTCAGATGAGCAGGACTGGGAGCGGTGGAGGGATTTACAGCCCTGAGGATGGTTCAGTCTTGCCTGGAGTTTAAAAAGCTCTGAGCCGACAACGAGTTACTGTGCTCGTAAAAGTTACTTAATGAAATTAAATAAAACTCCAGTATCGGAGCCTTGTTAGGGAAAAAACTGCTGAGACATAATTGATGTTATGACTCCTAGCTGTTTTTTTATGCCAAATCCCCCCAAAAAAAGAACTGAAACAGCTTCAGATAATTGTGCTATTTTGTTATTTATCACTTGGTGTGGAGGCCGCAGTAAAATCTTTTGCATTGTTCGGTCTCAGCAACAGTCCATTTGTGTGTGGGCGTGCGGACGCTGTGCACATAGTTCCTATGCAGGGTTGGAAAGCCTGGGAAAACTCCTGCTGTAGATTTAGTTATAATAAATGTAGGAAATTCACAAATCTGTAAAGAGTATTTGGCAAAACACAGTTGTGTCTTACTCCTGTTAGATGTTCTCACAGAGGAGGGATGAAGGATAATGTGTAGCTCGTTGTTCGTACTACAACTCCCTGTTTCACAACACATAGACGAGTTTATCAGTCCTAAGTACGTGGTTCCACTTTCTGATAACGCAGATAATATACAGGGTTTATAAGTTGTAACTAATGACTTTACTGATGTTAATAAATCATTTAATAATAGCTCTGTAAGAAGCCGTTTGTCAGATGAACTTCTGGGTTGCCAGGTTGTGAGAAACAGTCTGACCTCCTACTTTCTTGCACGGCTGCAGACCAAAACCCATTTATATTAACAACTTATTAACATTCACAACTGCAGACATGATGGATTATTGTAGTGGAAGAAGCCTTTATTAATGACTTGCTAACATTTATAATTTCACATCTGTTGGCTTATTAGACGGAGAGAAAGTTGTGTGTATGTAGCAAAATACAAACTTAGTTGTAGATACAGATAGTTTTCAGATATTATAAATGAATAATGAAGGATCATGTGAGACTGCTTTTATAATTTAGCTCTGGTCATATTATAAAGGCACAATTAGCAATTAGCAAAATGGTTAATAAATAATAATGGCCTTTTAGATCAGAGTTTGTAGTGCCATTAGCTACTATGAAGCATTGCAACTGCTGTTAATCATTTAACATTAGTTGCAACTTCTAAAACCTTTATAAAGTGACTTATTAGGAAGTTGTAAAGATTAATAAATGGATTTGAATGTGCACTTTCCTCACTAATAACTGATTAATAATCTATTAAGCATAAAGCCATTATTTAGAACTTATAAACGCTTTATAAAGTAAGTCTACGTCCAGATTACATGTATTAGAAGAATAAAAAAAATATGTCCTTGTGTGATCTGTAAACCTCATTAACAGATTCATTAGTCATTAACAAAGTCTTAGACACAACTAACAAACCGTGTGTTAAGCGGGTTTTGTAAGAAAAGTGGCACCAAGACAAAAACATTCCAATCAAGGCAAGAAATCAAAACCTGGAAAACAAAAGCTGCAGCGTTTGGTGGTGGAAACGCTCATGTAAGAAAAATGAGCCACAGATGTTCCTTGTCAGCTCCGCCGTCTGTGTCGGTAACCAAATGATGGAATAAAGTGTATGAGTGGGGTATTTACTGCTGCTCTGACAAGGGGCTATTAGTGAATTCCCCGCTCACCAGCTATTTAGCTGCTTCATTAAAACCCGCCCGGGTCCATATGGTCTGCACGCCGGCGTTGTCGTGGCCCAAGGTGTTTATTTGTTGCTGATAGGTGGGATCAACGGAGAATCAGGGCCGAGTTCCGTCCCTAATCTCCCAAACTGTTTGTGTCTCAGACGCCATGGAAACTGATACCCCTCGTCATCAAAGAAGCTCATTGGGTGGGACTAACGACCTGACAGCTGGGGAGAGAGGGATTCCAGTATTCAGGGAGAGCACTGTCACCCCAGGGGTTTCCTTTAATCCCTGATAATGCCCATCCAAAGCTTTCCCCAGCAGATGCAACATATTTCTCCATAAGGCAATCAAACAATCTTTTCATGTTTGGTCTAAATGTGGCGATTGACTCTCTCTGATGATCCAAATGATCTTTTCCCTCTCAATTTCTGGACATGCTTGATTATTTTTGGCTGAGGTAATACCTCAGAAAGCTCCATGACTTGACACTTGTGCATATTTCTTCTCATAGCAGAATAACCTCCGCTATTTGCTTTTCTTACACTGCTCTCTTTTTAATCTCCACTTAAAGAAACAATGCTCCATTTTTCACTTGGTGGCGAGCTGATGTTGTGATAGTTTCCCAGTGGCATTGTGAGTTTCCCCCCCCGTTTGCATTGTTCCCACTGTTTACCCTCGCTTTCCCCTCTCAGCCTTTTCCCCCGGCTCCCTGCCGCTCGGTTCCGCTCGGATTAAAAACGGACACAAAAAGGCAACCACGTCCAAATATTGACTGGGTCTCAGGACTGCAGCCCTCTCCCAGCGCCCGGCACAGACTGCCTGAAAGGCCACTATTGTTCCGCTCGTACTCAGCGGCCCATAGCCGGCTTTTAGCCCAGCACAGAGACAGACTGAGAC